CCTGAAACAACCTGAAAACACAGAAACAACCTGAAAACACCCTTAAACATCCTGAAAACACAGAAACAACCTGAAAACACCCTGAAACACCCTAAAACCCTGAAACACCCAGAAACACCCTGAAACACTGAAAAACTGAAACACCCTGAAAACTGAAACACCCCGAAACACCCTAAAACACTGAAAACCCCCAAAACACCCTAAAAGACTGAAAAACACCTTGAAACACCCTGAAAAACTAAAACACCCTAAAATACCTTGAAACACTGAAACAATCTGAAACAATTTGAAACACCCTGAAACAATCTGAAACACCCTAAGACACTGAGACAACCTGAAACAATTTGAAACACTAAAACACTATGAAACACTGAAATACTGAAACAACCTGTCACACCCTGAAAAAACCTGAAACAACTTGAAACACCTTGAAACAACCTAAAACAACCTGAAACACTCACACACACTTAAGCAACCTGAAACACTGAAACAACCTGAACCAACCTGAAACACTGTAATACTGAAAAAACCTGAAACAACCTAAAACAACCTGAAGCAACATGAAACATCCTGAAACACTGAAACAACCTGAAACAACCTGAAACAACCTGCAACAGTTTTAGCGAAGGTCAGCATACATTGGGGTTGTAGGAGCTGGCGTTCAGATTGTCGGGGTAAACAAGCCTCACCGCCAGCGGCCAAAATAATTTTTGCCTGCCAGTTGGTCTAGCCTCCATCAATGCCCCAGGCCCTAGAACTGGCGGGCCAATCACAACACAGAGATGTGTTTTGAATGCCTGGATGCAAAGGGGGCGGGGTTTTTGAGGGTGTGGCGACAAAGCTTCGCAACGCTGGAGAAAGAACATAAAGGAAGATGGCAACTACTATTGAACAGTAGCATGATGCACTGCGGCAGCAGCAGCTTTTAATGGAGCGCTCCATTGAAAGTTAAAAGTTCTGTTTCTGTTGTTCAATAAAAGTACATTTAAGGTCATTTGAGGTGAGAATATTATACTTTAAAGCGTCACTATATGGTCCATTTACCAATTTAATGCATAATTTTAAAAAACCATTTCCTAAGTTGAGTGGACCGCAGCAACCAGCGGAGCTCCGAGGCTAACGGCAGCCAGGGCTAACGGCAGCCCGTCTGCAGCGGCCCTCTCTCGGCAAGTCGTGTGTGAAGGACCTCTGGCTATGATGGCTATTTTCAACAACAGTTTTTGAACAGTTTGGGAAGGATTAGACTTGGAGTTTTCTTTGAAACGTGAGCAGAAAAAGGCTCTACGCTCATTCATTTTGAAGAACAACATATTCGCCATTTTACAGACAGGCTGTTTGTTTACACCCCCCCACCAGCTTTCTGTTGCGCTTCCTACGTCACAGTCAGTAGCTCTCATCGGTCAGAGCGTTGGCCAATAGGCACAGACATGGTTTGAAAAGAACGGGTTGTTCTCAACAATCTTCCAATGTCTCATTCATCGGAGCCAGACTAAATTAGACATTTAATCTCACATTTAGTCTGGTTTACCAGGCTAGGATTCAGAATGTTAAAAATTTTAACCAGAAAATGAAAGTTATCACCAGAGACCAGGTCTCACCACCAATGGCTCATTCTACCTGAGCTATTATTAGCATTGGTGGACTTTTTTGAAAATCAACTCAGGAAGTGAAAATATAATTTATTAAAACCTCCTACAACCTGTTTGGACAGGTCTTCAGTTCCTTCAGGCTGCAGCTGGACTTTCAGCAGATAACAGGGTTTGATAAATTACTTTGCAGGTGCAATGCACTGACATTAGCATGTCCTCCACCAATTAATTTGCATTGTTTGCTCATAAGACTATGAGCTGCATGTTAACAAACAGGTTTGCACGCGCCAATGGGCTAAATTTACACATGATATGAACTGTATCTGCTTCTAAGATCAGCTTTGTTCATGCTAACAAGTTTGCATATGTTTCAATACATGCAAACCATTTGAAGATCAGATCCTTGAGGAGATAAAAAGCTCATAAGAAACCTCTAGATCTGCTGCGTTATATTTTATTTTCACCTTTCTTTTAACTTTTTGCACATAAACTTAAAAATGTCACGTTTTTAGAAAAGGAGGGCGGGTACAATTTCACTGCATATTTAATCCTAATTAGCAGCGCCAATAAAGGATCATTTTCTTCCATATGGTTTTAGATTTTCTTAAGAACAACAACGAGAAGAAAACTGTTAAAGTCCAACGATTTCAAATCTCTGCAAAGATGGCGGCACTAAGAACGATTCACCTTTTATTCAGGGAGAAATAACACTGCTGTGTGGTTGGCATGGTTACCCATCATCCATCCATCATCCATCCATCCATCCATTCATCCATCCATCCATCCATCCAACCATCCATCCAACCATCATCCATCCATTCATCCATCCATCCATCATCCATCCATCCATCCATTCATCCATCCATCCATCCATCCAACCATCATCCATCCATCCATCATCCATCCATCATCCATCCATCCAACCATCCATCCAACCATCATCCATCCATTCATCCATCCATCCATCATCCATCCATCCATCCATCCATCCATCCATCCATCCATCCATCCATCCATCCAACCATCATCCATCCAACCATCATCCATCCATCC